TTCATATCCCAGTTGTATTAATCTATTTTTACGTAAAGTCGTTTTCAAATTAGTATTATTTTTCTTTCTACTTATTTAATTTCCAATAATGAATACAATTTTAACGCAAATCAGAAAAGGAATAAAATAAGCGCGCGTTTCTCATTCGTTGACGAGTAGAGTAAAGCCGAGAGAATATGAAGCATCGCTCGACATCGCAAAGAGAGCGAGCATGGCAGGCGGCGCTTTTTCACGATTCACCGGCTATATTTACGAGCAGCGTTCGCCCATGTAATTCGCGCGACTTATAAAGCACCGCCACCATTGTCCGTGATGGAAATTCAGCGGAAAGATTGGATGACAAACAATGGGCCTAGCCCGACCAGATTATGGCAACAATGAGCGCGACGAACGACGCAGCGAGACGGTGGTCCGCGTTGCAGTTTGCGCCTCTATTTCGCCTTTCGTACATGTGTTGTATTCCTCGCATTTTCACATGTACTTTCGCGATTTGTCATTTCCCGATTTCAGATGTCCATTGTCGATACTTTGGTCCCCGTTGTCAATAGCACGTCGTGATTAAAATAAGAGTATATTGAACTTCTGTAAAGCCGCAGATAACATCGATTTCAATATTATTTACGGTTATGGTAAAACATTACCACACCCGCCGCGATATCTCTTGCTTACATCTACTATTTTGCTGCCTTGGTCGACGCCTTCCTCTTTTTCGTATGTTCATCGGCCAATATCCGATTGCCGGCCGATACAAATAGAGATCGATCATGGCTTTGGTTACGAGCCAACGACGTGTGCCAATAGGACCACTTGATTGGACAAAACTGCAACCCGTCTTTTTAGGTGGTATACCATACTACGCTGTACGTATTTTTCTGTTCCAGCGGTTCGATAAGCCACATCGGCGGCATTTGGTCTATTGAATGTCGCCAATGTTGCTTTCGTTCAATTTTCAAAAAAAAAAAAACTTCAGAATAAAAAGCTAAATCAAATATCAAATACAGAAAAATATGTTTTTATTATTAGAATATTGTAGCTGTAAAACGGTACAAAGTTGCTAGAAATATGAGGATTTTAGAGGAGTAGTCGTTAACAATTGGCACTGCTGCAAAGTGCCTCCATTTCATTACATTGTGTGTCGTTTGTCGGATTCAAGTAGCAAAACTTGTCACACATTCCCATTGCAGCATATACGAGACCTTAAACTGTTGCCTGGTCTTCGCCTATCTGGGTCATTTCCGGCACGGAATGGGATAGAAATAGAGTATTGATTGGTGCCATAAATATATGAAACTGAAATATTAATGATCAGATTCGCAGGATAAACTACTATATTATCTCGCTTACCTTTGACCTTTTATTTCTTAACTGTCACTGTTGTTTCATTATACGGAACATTGATTCTTATCCCTGATGTATGAACTCCATCCATCCATATA